AATGGGGTTTCTCAGCAAGGATCCCACTGGTTTGTTCCTACAGTGGGAACCATGGCTCCAGGCAGCAGCAGGTGGCCCTTGGGAAGAAAGTCAGGGGACCCTGGGGTATTTTAAGGGGGGGAGGGGCACAGAGCCATCTTGAGTCATCCTCAGAATCCCTGCTCAAAACAGTGGCAGTGATGCAGCTTTATAAACAGCAGCCTCATTCATAAAAGCAAACCTGGGCACTGAAGTGTGATAAACCTGGAGGATGGATAATACACTCCATGCCATGGAGTATTACACGCTATAGAAAAGGAAGGAACCACAGCTACGCATAACAAGGACAAATCGTGGGGCGTAATGAGCAACAAAGCAAATTACAGGACAGGACACCACTTTAGAAAGCACGAAGCTAAACAGCCTCATACGGTTACATATGACACTCATATTACTAGGGGTGGCAGGAAATGTCTGGTGATAAAACTACTTAAAAAACAAAATAAGGATGTAATCAACACAAAAATCAAACTTGTGGTTAACTCTTGAGATGGTCAGTTGGGTCCCTGGTGTTCACTTTATTATTTTATTATATAGGCGCCTCTTGATTATATGTTTTTGTAGGTGTCAAAAACTTCATAATTAAAGACATCCAAAGGCACTGCAGCTATCAGGACTCAAGCACGAGCACTGTAGCTGGTTCCCCAATTCGTCACAAGCACTGCTGTAGTGCCCGCCCACAGGGCTCACGGAGCACGCGTGGCTCACACCCCCTGGGCTCTGGGGAGTCTCCCCGCTCAGGCAGCCAGATGACAGGGCTGCTGCCTGGCATGGTGACGTCAAAGGTTAGCAGCGGTTATTCTGTTACCACACTGAGGCCCCTTGTCATCTCCTCTTTCCGGATTTCCATCTCCCCCTCAAACCTGACCCATATGCTTCAGCAAGCTGATTTGCACTTGACTGTGGGCCTGTCTGCCTGGAGTACAGCCCCACCACTTTCCTTCTTCTCGTTCAGCCGTTCAACAAATATTTACTATGCACCTACTACGTGCCAGGCACCATTCTCAGTGCTGGGGATGCAGCAGTGAACAAGACCACACAAAAATCCCTGCCCTCACGGAGCTGACATTCTAGTCAGGGAGGCAGACAAACACTAAATTAATAAATATGAATCAGGTGGTGACAAGCAGAAGCCTATAGCTGAGTAAGGGGACAGAGAGTGGAGGGAAGGGCAAGGAGTAGGTTTGGATAGGGTGGTCGGGAAGGTCTCTCTAAGGAGGTGGCCTTGGGTCAGGGACCTAAATGAAGGGAGGGGACCACGTGGGCATGTGGGAAGGGTCTTCCAGGCTGAGCGAGGCACAAGGGCAAAGGCCTGGCACCTGCTCCCTCGAGTCTCTTTCTTTCCCTGGGGCTCCACCGCCCCTCCCCAGCCTGTCTTCTTTCTCAGGCCCTCTCCCCTCTGCTTACCTCTTGCCCTATTCTAGTTGTGGGTGTTTTTTTGTTTTGTTTTGTTTTTTTTAAATTGAAGTATAGTTTGTTTGCCTTATTCTAATTGCCCAGGGGGCCCAGGCTTTGGGGGGAAGAGGACAGGGACGTTTCCAGACCACCGAGGCATCCCATTTGCATTGACCTTTGCTCTGAACATTTAGCCCGTCTCCATGGCTCCTGGCAAGACAGCTCTCCTGCAGGAATTATCCTGGAGTCAGACTTCCTGAGCCACCTTCCACTTAGCTCCTTTCCTGCCAGCCCTTGCCAGGCCTCAAGGCTGGATTCGGCCTACAGGCTGTGATTTTTCACATCCTTGTCAAACCTGTAACAGCAATGCCTGGAAAAAAGATGTCGGCTTAATTACTATTATTAGCACGAACAACTTCCTACTACTGAGGTTCCCTGAGTGCTGCCTGCAGGTAAACTCACCTGGAAAACCATTTGGGGACGTTCTCCCCCTGTGATCACCTGTATATCTCCAGGCTTGCTGTGGCAGCTGCCAGAGCAGCCTGGGCAACGGGTGAAGATCAAAAAACATCGCAGATGTGGGAATGAGCCCAGAGACCAAGGAGCCCAACTGTCAGGCTGACAATGTTTATCAGCTTCTGCTCCCAACCGCCATATCCCAGCAAACTCAGCGCTCAGGCAGACGGTCAGAAGGGTACACTGGTCGGTGTCAGTCACTTCCAGGATGGCCTGCTATGAAGGTGGAAGCCTCAAATGTAGTTATTTATTATTGTTGTGTTAAATCCTGAAGGAATACATTTGCAGGCTGATTCTCGACCTTGGAGATCTCCAGCCTCGTCCATTCATTCATTCATTCATTCATTCACTCTTTCATTCAAGCTCCTACAACGTGCCAGACCCTACACTGGGTGCAAGGGGTACAGAGACACGGAATGTCAGGGCACATTTATTGCACTCTTATGGTCTATCAACACCCTTTTAAGTGCCTTACCTGTATTTCCTCATTTAATTCACAATCAATTCTACAGGGTAGGCATTATAGCTGAGGAACTGTCGGCGGGGGAGGCAGGAACTATTAAATGCCACTGCCCAGGCAGCACATGCTGAGTCAAGAGTCAAGGTCTACTCTGCCCTCATGAAGACACAGGCCTTGTCTCTGGAACTTATCAGCTGGCGGGGGGGCAGAGAGAAGGACACCAATAATATACCTTACAGTGTGGCAACTGAGGCAGTATAAACATCAGTCATTATATGACAGAGTTTGTTATAAGAAGCCCTATCACAGAGGGAAAGA